AGGTGGGTAGGATCCAGGTTTTGAAGTGTTTTGAATCCATTCAAAGGAGTTTGGACTATTTCAGATTTAATAGAGTCTTTTTTTTTTTTTTTTTTCCTTTTTAGAGGTAGCACATGCCAAGGTCATTTTTGTTTTATGATGTGTTAGGGAATCAGATAAAGAAAACATTTAAATGATAATGAAATTAGAGTGTAACTAGAGAGCATCCAAGAAAGGTGAGTGTCTGAACTAAGGCAGTGCAATGGGAATAAGGTGGTTAAGCTATAGTCTCAAGAATAGCATCCCTGTTGTTGTTATTTGCCCTCGAATCGGACCTGACTCATAGTGGCCCCTCATTGGGTTTCCGAGGCAATATCACTACGGAAGTAGATTGGCCAACCTTCCTTCCGAGGAGTGGCTGGTGGGTTTGAACCGCCAGCCTTCTGGTTAGCAGTCAAGTGCTTTAGCCACAACAACAACAACAACATAGCTTCCCTAGTACTTGGTAATTGTACCTGTCTCTTCTCTCTAAAATTCTTTGGTTATGTTAATGGGATCACACTAGAGTAGGGTGAATTCTGAACCTAATTCCTTCTGAGTGTTGTCTCTTGGGTACACACACACATGCACACGCACACACACACACACACACAGAAGATGCCATATGAAGACAGACACACATGGCAGATGCATCTAGAAACCCAAGAATGGTAGTGTTTGCTGGCTACTAGAAGCTGAAAGAGACAGAAAGACCTCTCCCTAGAGCCATGCCCTGAATTCGGGCTTTTAGCCTCCAAAATTGTGAGACAATAAATTTCTGTTCTGTAGAGCCACCTACTTGTAGTACTTTTTGTTACGGAAGCACAGGGAAATTAAGACAGCTTACTGTGGTTGTACTGTGAAATTTTTCAGAGCCTAAAGTTTTGTCTGGTATTGAAATTTAGATGCCTTTGGTCAGTTATCACCGTACCATTCTTTTTATCATATAACACATACCTGCCTCTCGCAGACTTTTGAGTTTCCTGTGTCAGGGTACAGTTCTTACTCACCTTTGCATTCTTGGACTTAGCTGTGATCATGAGACATGGGCATTCCTTAATATCCATATATATTTTAGAATACAGTTTCTTACCTACATATGTTTTGTTCTTTCTGATTTGACTGTCATTCTTCAGATAGATGGAAACAAGATAGAATTTATGGTTTTCTTTTCTCTGCTGTCTGTTAATATTACAGTTTTCCCTTCTAGAAAGGCCTTTTAGACTTTATGGCATTATATATATTTTACACTTTGAGAAATCTGCTTCTCTGGTGTCTATTATACATGACTGACTATGCTTTTCATTTATCTCCTGTATATTGCTGATTCTGAGGTGTCACAACCATGTTGTCCCAAGGATCTTGTAACTTTTATGTCTTCAGCCAAATTTCTCATCAGTGAGATGAAATTCAGTATGCCAGTCCTTTCTTTGCTTTCTCAGAGGTGAATTTTGGACAACTGAAGTATTTATCAAATGCTTGCTTTTACTCAAATACTTCATGTGGGCCGCTAAAGTTCTCCATAACTCTCTGTTGTGCAGTGAATTACATG